TATATATATATATATATATATATATATATATATATATATATATATATATATATATATATATCACTGGTTCACTATATTACATCAATATTCATATCATATCGAATGTTGTTGCGTTGTTTCAATATCTATCAGTAAATTATCCAATGAACACCAAGTAAAAGTTATATAATTATTATTTGATATTTGCTAGGTATGTTATAATATACTGTGAACACTATAAGGATAAATTACATAAACACAAATCGTAAGAATATCATTAGAGTTATTGGGAATTGCCGCGTGCCGCTCGATAGTCAGGTTAAACAACACTTTAACGGAGTCAAGACATAGATGGTGGCCGGGTGGTATATCACTTGGGATCGAAATTATCGAGGGAAGATTCACGAAAGTTAGGATTGTGTATTGACAATCTTCGATATCTAGTTTATGAGACATAAAAAATTAGGAATTATAAATATATTTTTTTAAATATTATTATTTTCTTATTTTTTACATTCGCACAATAATTCTCAGTATTTGATTACTATCAATATTTAATAATGATTTTACTATCAGTATTCACCAGAAATTAAGTATTAAGACGAAAAAATTACTGAATTACGGATAATACATAATCATTAATAATTTTTTAGTATTTATTAGTATAATATTCCTGTAAGGATGTTAGCTAAGATTTTACTTTGCATAATAAAACATATTAATAATATTACATATATATTGCATTGCAATGTTGTTGCATAGTTGCGTTGTTATATTGCCACAAGCGGACATTTTATCGTTGCTGCAACGTTGCAGTAGCATTGCAGCAACATTTTGCAATGTTGCTGCAATGTCACAATATTGCAAAACAATGATGCTACAATGTTGCTGTGTTGTATCGGATCTTACGCAAAAACAAAATTACAAAATAACAAACTTACGCAAAAACAAAATAACATAACTCGCATAAAAACAACATTCATATATACTAGAAGACGTGATCTAAATTTTTAGTGAAAGTTGGTAAAGTAAAAGTGGGAAAACAATAGGAGGAAGGGGAATTAGGGGGGATTAGATTCCCTGAGTTGTTTAGAGAGAAGACGTAGATTTCCGGAGTTTTCTGGAGGATATTTTCATGGTAATTTATGGAAACTTACTACGTGTTTGCCAGTGGGAAGCAACCCCCACGAATACGTAACTCTTCCATTGCACGTGCAATAACTTAACGAAATGCAGACTTCCGACTGCGCGTCCTAAATTCATACTACCCAAGAAAAAAGTATTTCATACTAACAAGAAGACGTCGAAATAATGTGATTTTTTCGGCTTGCAGACGTTATTGAAAACCTGAATGTAACCTCATTTTAACGTACTAATGTCGTCACTTTTGCTATGTTATACTGACGTCGATATATGAAGTAAAAATGATGTCATTTAAATGTTTTTAGGACGTTATTAGAACGTTTAATTGACGTTATTAGGACGTTATTACCTAGACAGCACAAAATATTTATAAAATATTTACAAAATATTTATAAAATTTATTTGAATATTTTATAAATATTTACCAAAATATTTCATAAATATTTTTGTGACCTTAGATTCAATAGATCACACACACACACACACACACACACACACACAAACATTTATCAAAAATATAATAAAAATATTTTATTAAAATATATACATTTATATACAATTTTCTTTCTCCTAAATTTTTCTTAAATTTTTCACCTTATTATTTCACGTGCAACTTAATTCAAGTTAAATTGTATTTTGAAAATCTGCTTACCACATTGCCGAGATTCGAACCTGAGATCTCTGGTTCTTGAGTTATTCACCTTACCTACTGTGTCACTTTGACTGAGAGACGCTTTGTATTGTATACATATGGTATGTCCATACACGAAAACAAATGATTTATTTAAAAGAAGAGATTAGATCCTTTTAAATGTAAACTGTTATTTAATGTGTAATGACCATTAAAGACGATGTGATTTAAGACGCTCTTTCGGAGCGCGTTATTAACATCACGTCGTTTCATCATTATCGTTTTTCAAATTTACAACAAGAATAGATTGCCATAGTAACGTTATATACCATTTCCTTGCATACATCTTTTGATTGGTACACTCCCCAGCTGACAGTTAAAGTCGTCATTAAGACGTTATTAAGACGTCATGTGATGTTACTTTGTTAGGTTATATGAATATTGGGAAGTTCGAGATATTGGGTGTTAGGTTATAGGTTATATTGAATATTGGAAATCCGTCTTTTTGATGTAATAAAAATAAAGTATTATTTTAGTATCTATAATCATGTCAAAATTACGTTCCATTTAGGTCACATAACGCCATCGACATCAAAATCAAGTAGTTTTTATTTCATTTTGACATTGTGTTGTTAGTTGGGTTCTCAGCTGCACGCGTAATGAGAATTAAACTAACTCTTTTGTCGCCACGGCTTTCCCTCTTAGAAGAGATGTGTTTTATACTGACAAGGGGAGGACCAGGTGACTCACCCTGGGATTTCGACTCCAAATTTTTTAATTATTCTGGAGATGAAAAAAAAGATACGTGTCCCGGCGTTTGATAGAATAGGCCTTAGTTTCGGAGTAATAAATTTGTGAAAATTGGC